GGGGGCGGCGTGAAACCGCGGCCAGCACATCACTCGCCCGCGCCGCTTCTCGCCGCCCCCTTTGGCCTGGGATGGCGAACCGCAGCCAGTGGGGGCCGCGATCGGCCGAACCTGCCACGTCAGCAGGTAAATAAAACTGGCCCAGCCCGCCAGGGTGTTTACCCTGGCGAGCCGCGTGCCGAATGTTGCCGACCCCTGATTTAAGCAATACTAATTCTTGAACTCAATTTTGGAAAAAGCTTCCTAAAAGGCTGAGAGACTGAAACCACTTGAAACAAGTCATGGAGCTCAGTACTTTTAAGTTTCTTGCCCATTGAGTGAGGAGTTCTAATTGAGGCTGAGAATTATCTGCCCAGTTCCACTTCTTGTCTTTTTTTAGTTTCATTTTCACCACTCAACATTAGACAATACAACACTCAAAACAACAAATACAGTGTGTAGCCCAATAAAAAATTAGGCTAAGCCAAACTATGTAGGCTGAAATCATGAGGGAGGTGGTAGAATCTCCTTAGAGGTTTTTAAGATTAGGCTTGACAAAGCTGGGATGATTTAGTTGGTGTTGGTCCTGTTTTGAGCAGGGGGTTGGACTAGATGACCTCCTGAGGTCCCTTCCAACCCTGATATTCTATGAGTCTATGAGGATTAGCACTTCCACAGTGCTGTTCAACCACAGCTAAAAGCCCCGTACAAATAATGAACCTCTTAAGTCTCTCACATCCCTGGGAAATAGATAAAATAAATACCATTACCCCCATTTTCCAGATGGGTAAACTGAGGTACCAACAAGTTAAGTGACATGCCCAGGGTCACACCGGAAGTGAATGACAAAGTCAGGAATGAGAATTGAAGAAGGATGGATTTTGAAGACTGACCAAAAAGTGACATGATTTAGCAAAGTCCTGGTCAGGAGAGAAGAAGAGGGGCATCAAAGAGAACAAGGCTGCAAGTGTGGCTGTAGTTTATAGCAATTAGATAGCAAGCCTTTGAATAATTCATGGCCTTTAGCAGCCCTCTCTGTCTTTGCTTCGGAAGCTACCAGAGCTGTGCCAGGGCAGCCATGTGTTTATAGGTAGGAAGGCATTGCATGTTGTACATATGTAATGAACATTATCATTTGGATCCCACCATGGCCTTACGCTGGTTGTGTAAAGGGCAAGATAGACAACAGTGGTGGACAGGAAGAAAGCTGATGTTGATAGCCACAGAGAATGAGTGAAAGAGAAGCTACTTTTTAGTCACAGAGGATCAAATTCAGCCATTTGACCCAGGCATACCACGGCCATTGAAATCCATGGGAGCGGCACAGGCACCTCAAAGGGCAGAATTTAATCCACTATGTTTGGAAGGCGGCGGGTTGGTCCTGAGCTCTGTCCCTGAAGTGATGAATTATTCGTTACCACATGGAAGCGTACCGGGCAGTAATGAAAGGTAGTTTCATCTGCAGATAGATATGGATTGGAACATGTTGCCAAATGGAATTTTGAAACTTGGAACGAGCCAGATCACCATGACTTCGATAATGTGTCAATGAGTGTCAAAGGTAAGTTTGTTTCTTTTCACCTTGATTTAATTCGTGTGGGGGTGGAGTAGGGTAGGGACAGGTGGGTGATAAATAATAGGATATATACATGTATATTCTGTTTTATAAGGGATTGGCCCTGGGTGTGATCCACATAACTTCCATTAATAGCATTCCTGCCCTGAATTTCATGAAGTCTCAGGTTAGACTTTAACATGAGAGAAAACAGAAATGAGGGTGGGGAATGGGGAGTAAGGGTGACGCCAATACAATCATGTTTTTCACTGTTTGGTTATAAAGTAAAGTTGTGCTCTGAAGTTTTTTTCTGCTTTAAAGCCGTGTGTTTTAATAGCTGTGTACCTTGGTAGCTTGCCCAGGCAAAATCCTTTAAAGGAGTTTCCTGTTGCTGAGACTGTGAAACCAAGGGAGGGGATTTCGAGACCCCTGTTGTGATCGATAATGGAGAGAGGAAGTGGAAAAAGGTGGCTTCAAACACATTTTATACTTTCTAATTGCTCACAGCCTGCTGTAGCAATATGAGGACCGTCCGTACTCTTCGGTAACTTGAATCGAGACATCGTTATAATTTTAAGCTGTAACCATGTACTGTATACGTAATTGCTCTGACTCTAGGGTTTCTCAATTATTACGACGCATGCTCAGAAGGGTTAAGAGAAGCTAGTTCTTTACTGAAATTTGGAGGCCCAGGAGATTCTTTCCATCCATTCCCAAAGTCGCCCATCTGCTGGAGTCTTCTACATCACTGCTACAATGGAACCAACTTCTTCACTGGAGCGACTGGTGTGAGGTTGGACTACATAGCCCTACATAAGAAGGTCAGTTCAAGGCTTTTAGCTGTTTAATAAAGAAAAGTGTACAGGAGAGTATTTCTTAATCCAATTTATTGCTAAGGTTGACTGTTTATGAAGTTCACTTTCAGAATTCTGCTCTGCCTGTACTGGGGTACATAACCATTACAATTCCAGAGGGCCTTTTAAAGTTGTTCTAACAGACAAACTTCCTTCCAAGCGGAATGCTTCCATATCTAGTCTCCACCTGAAAACAACTTTTCTGCTACTTTCACATGCGGAGAGTGGGGGGAAATATACAATTTTCCCCTATAAAACAATAGTCTTGACCGCTTGTCAACAGTTCTAGTGCCTGAGCAGATAGGGTAGAAATGTTAAATTTGACAGGCAAGTTGAGCAAGATGATATCTTTTATTGGACCAACTTCTGTTGGTGAGAGAGACAAGCTTTGGAGCCACGCAGAGCTCTTCTTCAGTTCCAATAAAAGATATTACCTCACTCACTTTGCCTCTCTAATAGCGTGGGACCGACACAGCTACAACACCGCACACAAATCTGACAGGGACATACGTGCTTGTGCTCTGTCTTTCATAGCAGAGGTTCTCAAACTGGCGTCCGGGCCCTCCTGAGGGGGCACAGAATGTATTCGGGGGCAGGGGGAGTGTGAGAAGCTTTAGGGAAAAAAACCTCACTGCACACATTTTACCCACAGCCATGAATAATTAGCAACGCTGACTCCTCCAGCCATACCAGGTCCTTAGATGGTGCTGTGCATTTTGGTGGATTTCTGTTAAGCTTGCCTAGCATTATACAAAGTCGGTGCCATCTGCACGTTAATCCGTTTGCTATGTCGCAGTGGGCATATTTAATGGTAAACGAATAGACCCCAATCGCAGTTTTGCTTTTGTTCTTATTACAATGAATCGTTGGCTCTGTTTGAATCAATGTTTCACTGTTTTTAATATTTAGTGAGAGTTGCATGTTGATTTTTTTTAATCGATATATGTACTTGGGGGGGGGCCAAGAAACTACTACAGACACAAAGATGGGAGGCCTAATCAAATAAACTTGAGAACCACTGTTCAGAGTACCGTACATGACACTTTGCTTCCTCACTTTGCATGAATGGGATGCCTGTTGTTACAGGGAGCTGGAAGTTCTCTTCACATCTTAGAGCAAGAAACAGAAGCAATGGAGCAAATTCAGAAGTTGTTCCCAAATTTCACCTCGGTTCCTGTATACAATGATGAAGCAGACCCACTCGTTGGATGGTCAGTTCCACAAACGTGGAGAGCTGATGTGACCTATGCAGCCATGGTGGTGAAGGTAACTCAACGCTCACTTAGTGTCCTCACCTAATAAGCTAATCTGCAGAGCAAGTGTGTTGCCAAAAGAATGTTTTATTAGGTTTCTGAATGGACTTCAGGAAAAAATTACAAGCCAAATCCTGAGGTTTGAATGCTCTCACACCAGGGTGTCAGGTGCTTTAACTTCACAGCTTTAGCGAATTCATCTTCCCTTTCCCAAGTGTCCCTGTAGAAAACAGCCCTATGAAAACTCCTCCTCCTATGAGAACTGGAGAATGTGCTGGGGATACTGTTACCGTGAATCCTTCTGCATGATTGGCTAAACTCACTTTCCCTCATTCCCTGTAATAGGCTAGCCATTATCTTCTTGTGGTGCATTATACACCCACAACTACAAAAATCACCCTTTCCCAGAAAGCCCTAAGCACCACTACCGTCCTCCTTGACCGCTTAATGCAGTAGTTCTTGGACTTTGGGTGAGGTCTCTCCACAGAGGGCTGACATGACCTCATTATTACTGCCTGCACCAAGGGGCAGGCCATGCAATGGGCATATGGCCCTGAGTTAGGGGGGCAGTGCAGAACTACGTAACCATGGAGGCAACTGTAATGCTGGGGAAGAGACCACTTCCTCATGGGAGCATGCCAGTTGTACCAACCTGTGAATGTTCCCTGTGGTATCTGCTGAACCGTACTCTTGCAGTTGGAGAGGAGATGGGAGCAATTAGATGGATCTTTCTAAGTCCCTGGAAAGCCCATGGGAGTACTGACCTGAAAAATCGACTGGGTTTGCACATTGGATGTGCACAAACCTCTAAGTGTGAGCTGGCGCATCTCGTTTCTCAAATACTTCCTGTCTGTGGTATACTTGTGATGGACAGAGACAAGCTTTCAGACTTACACAGAGCCCTGCTTCAGGTCTGGGAAAGGTTGTTTAGCATAAGTAGTTAACACATGTTTCAATCTGTTCCACCCTGCATTTAGCAGCGTCACTGAGTACCTTGCCCAGACCTGAAGAAGAGCTCTGTGTCAGCTCAAAAGCTTGTCTCTCTCACCAACTGAAGTTGGGCCACGAAAAGATACTGGACCAACACGGCTATGACTACACTGTATACTTGTGATAGCTTTATCACTGCTTATGTCACACCATTTTTAGCTGACTCTTTAAAGAAAGCGAGTCTCCTCTCAGGCCCTTCACTGGCTCCTTATTATTACCCCGCAAAAAGTTTAAACATTTGGGGGTTTTGCCTGCAGAACCCTTCACGTTTCTGCTCTGGCCTACGCTTTTGATCTGTCTCCTTGTTGCATTGTTGGACATTTTACAGAGGAATAAAAGGGGCATGCCCAAGGTCACTCAGCAAGGAATTGGAACTGGGGCCAAAGCCTGCACTTTGTTACA